TTCTAGATGTATTGGTACACATAGAAATAACTTGTGGAATAATATTTATATATGTATACAATACAATCACATTGTTTGAAAGGAACAATCTTCTTGTATTGCACTCTTCTTCCAAGCACGTTTTTAGCACCTCAGTAGTATATTACTATCTAATTGTATTTTTTCAGATGTGAATTATGGGCGAAGTACTGTTTTCCTCATGAATCTTGGTGGTCACCAGAATTTCAAAACAATCTTCATTCTAGGCATTTAATGTTGTGCACTAAACATTTTAAGAAATCATCATTCATTGATAATTTTGGAAAGAGGCTAGTCAAATCTGCAGTACCTGATGAGGAATGTGATAAGGTTAGTTAAATCTTTCTTTTGTTACTATCTACATTTTTTACTTTTGTGTGGCTTTTCTTATACTACAGTGAAAATATTATCTAGTTAACAAACGGTGGTAGCAGATTGAGTGGTGATTTATAAGGGTATGCGACGTAACCTACCATTACTTCTCAACCATAAAAAACAAAAGATATAAACTTTAAAAAAAAGTTATCTTTTATTTAAAAAAAAAACCTTATCCATACTAGGATTTTCTCCTCTTTGTGGAGGCAGTTTACAAACATAAATTGGATGAGGACAAACAACCCCCAGCACAATTATTTATAGGCCTTGGGTCAATTTAAAATCGGTGGCAGAAAATGTGACTAAATTTCGAAAACAAAAGAAAATAAAATTCTGTTTAACTTAGTTGTATAGGTATTTATGCTATGTAGATATCATTGTTAAATGCAATATCCTGGTTGGGCGCGATGTCTTGCCACTATTTTTAGATTTTCAAGGAATTTACTAGTGCAGGGTAAAAAAAATTACAACTCTGTTACCATCATATATTTATTCATATTTAAACAACAAACAATTATTTTTAGAAACATTCTTTGTTATGAACATTAATTAAGTCTTTACAGTCATGTTCAACATGCAAAATTACACAATAGTTCTTCTTAAGTAGGAACAGTAATGGAAGTTAAATATACTCTGTTACTTCCTTTGTTTTAATGATCAAATTTTCACTATAAACTATGTAAATTGAATTAAATTATTAAAATATAATGATGATGTTGTGTATAAATGAGAATATTAAATAATTAATAAACAATGCATAGAGTCAGGTGTCAGCTTTTCATAAAATTCGAGACATTACTCTTATATATTTAGGGACACAAAAGTAACAAAGTTGTAGGAACAATAACATAGTTGTACTATTCGCAACAAATTTATGAACTACTATCACAAAAAACAATATTTTTGGCTATGAATTGTTTTATGAACTTTAGAAACTTAATTAGATTATAAAACTTAAGGGTAAAAAGCTAAAAAATCTTATTGAGATCAAATTAAACCTAAGCTGATAACTTATTTTTCAAATATCTCTAGTGGAGTATGGAACTGGTAATATACCCTTTTGCCTTTATTTACTTTTTAGGTACTGAAACAACTCTTATGAAACTCTCATATTGTTCATATGATATATCATTTTAAACTAATTTGTATGTTTTTCTAGTACCGTCAACAGAATTTAAAAAGACAATTTTTACTTCACCATCATCGTCTACTTCGCTTAATGCTTTGCCTAGATAAACACTTACTTTCAGAATTGTAAACTTTAACTAAGACCTAGACTCCTTCTTTGATTTTACTTGGATGAATATTTTCTTTATGAGTCAAGTGATTCTCATCATTTTTTTCTTTAGACAAGCAGGGTTGATCTGATGCCTTATCTTTTAATCGTAGCAAAGGATTATCATCATCTGATTCCGAACTCGAACTGTAAATTACATTGCAAAAAGATTTCCTTTTCTGTTCAATCAAATTACTTATATCCGCTAGATTAGTAGAATTACTCCTTTGATTCTTCGACTGTATCCTTTAGTGGACAATAGTTTTTTGGATTCATTCATGAGGAGAAACCAAGCTAGCAGAAACAGCTCAACTCTCGATATTTCAGCGCTCCCACTTCTTCTGTAATACACTAGTAGTACACTTGATGTACTTTCATTATACCATAGAAAGGAACAATTTCTGCTGGAATTTCATTTGCGATTCTTTCAATATCATAATCAGTTCAAGATTGACCTTAACTCTACTACTATCTTTCAGAGACTGATAGAACGAAGACGCTATCAGAATGTCTTTCCCAACAGCAACAAGCTGGTCAGCAGTCCGTTTTAGAAAGCCACCAACACCAACAGCTGCTCCTTTGCCGTGTCCCCACTCGAAAAAATTCCATGTAGGCTTGGTGAGGTTGTACTTTGAGTAAAGTTTTGTCCATATTAAGCAGAAGTTTTGATTCTGGCGGTACTGAGTAGCGGGTCATCTGAAAATATGTGTATCACTTTTATCTTAGGGGATTGGTCTTGAATTGAGGAAAGTATAGGATGAAGGTGACTCCAGATTGCCGAAGGGCCGTGAGAGAGGTTACCTGATACTGTACAAAAAGACTTCACCTCTATGTTTCGATTTTCCAAGCTTCGCTTATACAATACGCCAGTATGTAAGGATACCTGGTTACGAGTATCACGAAAGTGGTGTGATTGTATCACTTCATGGAACTTGCAATTGTAATTTTCGCTGAAATCTACTTGTAACGCTATTTTTTCTTCTGTCAATCCATCTATACAAGATCTGTAGTTTCTATACTGAGTTGAGTCATGTCTTTTATTAAGCGTTTCTTTTTATGATATCTCTCTAAATCCTTTTTCTTAGTTTCCGCTACCTCTTCAGGGTTTTATTTGCACTTTTCTTTATAGCGCCGCTGCTTTTCAGCAGCGGTGAGAGCCATAGCGAAGTACTATGTATTATCTAGAACAAATGATGTAATTTATTAGATAGCTATTATATAATATTGATTCCTACTAACATAGAAGCAGAGATACGGATATACAGACGCCAACGATGGCTTGTAACAGCTTAGTAATAACAACTCTGTTACCTCTCTACAACTCTATTACCAGTAGCTAGTAACATAGTTGTGCAGTAACAGAATGGTAAATTTAACTTTAGTGACATTTTTTTTAGAAATGAAAGATTATTATGTACAAAGAAAAGCACATTCGATATATCTTACACTAGAGCTACTTCAATAATATAAAACTATACGCAAATATCTGAATACTTACGCGAAAACACCGGTAACAGAGTACATACAGAATAAAACCACGAGCCTCACACCGCAGCCATCGGATAAATGAATCGTGTACCCGCGCCCCAACCGCCGCAAACCGTACGGATAGAACAGTAGATATTTATGATGAAACAATTGCCAAAGAATGGATAGCGCCATCTCTTGGTATTTATCCGGTTTACTATAGTAACAGAATGTAGCTCTAATATTTTGAAGACCTTGGGACAAAATTTAAAATAATCGTACAAGCTTCAATTAATTTATTTAATATGGATGAAGTATGTTTTTAAATGTGTTATGATTGCTTTATTACACTAGCTTTCAAACATAACAATTACATTGAATTGATAAAAAGATATTATGATTTTCGCATGATGCACTGCATATGGGACAGAATTTTTTTGTATGGAAAACAACTATGTTACCAAGAATGATAAAAGTGGTTACTTGATAAAAGTGGTGATAAATCAATAATAAAATTCATTTCCTTGAGAATAAGCTTAGTAATTCGCCCCATATTTGACAAATTCAATAACATTATAACAATTTAATTAATATCACCGAGAAGAATATATTTTTGCTCAGGGACGACTTTATCTGCAACCAATTTTAAATTGACCCCCTTACAAATACTTATTCCGTGCAGCATTCGAACCTGTGACCTTTAGTGCCGCAACTCAATGCTAGCCACTGCTCCGCGAGCTGTCAATGTTGTTTAAATGACATGATTATAATTTAGTTACTTACAGAATATATTTACAAATAAAAGAAATTGTTAAAATAGTGTCTTAAAAATAGGATGGTGGTGGTTCATTAAAAAAAACAAGTTGTATTTAATGTTTATAAATTTATAAGGCTGTTTGAAATTTAGGGATTGGTTGACCAATGCTGGGATACATGATATAAATAATGATTTGATAATCTCTAATTTTCAGATCACATTAGCTGACCTTAATTTGGAACAAAGGAATGTCATTCAACATATTGCATCAACTAATAAACAACCACTGTCTGAAAATATTCAGAAGACTATAACTGTTTCAAATGTATTTGAGCCTGTTGCGGGTCCGTCAAAATTTATACAACCCTTGTGTGAGAGTGTAAATTATAAAACCATTCCTGACATAACTAGTGATATTCCTCAAGTAACTGAGAATATCAACCCTGTTGCTGCTGCAAATCCATCCACGAAAAACAAAAAGGATAAAGATATGTTGATAAAAATGAAATATCATCTGAGAAAAATTAACAGGCTTCAAAAAACTGTAAAGCATCTAAAGAATGAAGCATTTCTCAAAGTATTGAGCAAAAATGATTCCGTAAATGAAATATTAAAATGTAAAATATCCCCCTCTTTTGCATTATTTTTGCAAGGAGAATGGCAAAACTATAAAAAAAAATCATAAGGTCGAAGATGGAACATGGACTCCAAAATAATAGCACTAAGACTGTATAAAAGGTCACCTAGGTGTTACAAATTATTAAGTAGGATGATTTGCCTGCCAACACCTAGTTCATTAAAAGCGTTATTAAGCAAGTTTCACATGAAAGTTGGTATTAATGACCAAATTTTTAATGTTTTTAAAAAAACAATAAAGCAACAGACTCCCTCAGACAATGAGTATATCCTTATGTTTGATGAGATGTCAATAAAAAAGTATTTGTTTTACAACAAAAAGGAGGACATAATTGAGGGTTATCAAGACCATGCACTGCAGAGCAGGTCACCACAAATGGCAACACATGCCCTCGTGTTCATGATTGGCGGAATCCGTAAAAAGCTGAAACAACCAATTGCTTATTATTATTCTAAGGAGGTGAGCATTATGGTCTTTTATTTGTTATTATGTCAATATATGTAGTAGTACTTTTTTACCATATTAATTTACCCTTTTATCATTCTAGGTCCTGCAACATTGTTTTGATGCTGGAATTAATATTTCAGCTACAGTGTGTGATATGGATGGTGTGAATAAGAGAGCTTTAAGTATCTTGGGAGCATCTGTAGAACAGCCATATATTCTGCTAAATAATCGAGAAGTGGTTACCATTTTTGATACTCCGCATTTGCTCAAATGCTTTAGAAATATGTTTTTAAAATATGACATTAAATATCCAACAAATATAACATCAAATGATCAAATTGGATTTGGTAAGATATTTTGTTTTATTACAATCATAATATTATACATATTTCCAATTTACTGGATATTTACACAAATTTTTTTTACAGGTGTTGCTAAATGGAGCCATATAAAGGAGTTTTATGAAACAGATAACACCAATCCCAATTTTGTGTTTGCACCTTGCTTAAAACAAGAACATTTAAATCCAAATATGAAGCAGAAGATGAAGGTGAAGCTAGCTGCACAAGTGTTAAGCCACTCAGTTGCTGCAGGAATGTATGCTAAAATTTCACAAGGTAAATTAAATTTATAATTTAAAGTATAATATTTAAACATATGTCCACCCATTAAAATAATTATTAACTTAAAAAGGAACTAGGCTCTCCCAAGTACAAATTATTGTTTATTGTGTGATACTAATATGTGATATTATTTTTGAGTTGTCTTGTAACATACTTTAAATCATGTTTCTTTAATCCTAATAGTAAGATCTTAAATTATGTGTTGTTTACAGGGGAACTCTCTTCAGAGGCTGTCACTACAGCTAATGTTATTGCAAATATGGACAAGCTGTTTGATTGTGTCAACGCATGCTCACCAGACCTAAGAAGGGGGAAACCATATTCGACAAACATGACAAATAATACACCACATCTCACACATTTCACTTTAATGAAGAATTTTTTTAAAGAAATGACGTTTTTGGGATGCATTACGAGCTCCTCCATCCCAAGAAGGTTGGATATGGTCTATCAATGGAATAGAACGAATTTGGAGAAATCTCAGTTCCAAACATAAATCAATAAAAAGTTTGGAAACAAGAAGGCTCCAGCAGGACCCGTTAGAAAATCTTTTTGGATGCATTCGGGTCAATTGCGGCTGCAATTCAAATCCCGCTGCTGGGCAGTTTGTTGCGGGTCTTAAAACGGCTGTCCTTAGCAACTTATCTTTTATTGGGACAGGAAATTGTGAAGAAGACCAAAATCAAGTTATATTGACAAATTTTAAATCTTTATTGTCTCCACCCACAGACACACACACTGCTTATGCCACAATTTTAACCGATGAGTTAGAAGAAAGTGTAAATTCTACATTTGAATGTAGCTTGGAAGAAAGCAGTGGCGAAATACAAGCATGTGCCTATGTCTGTGGGTTTATAGTAAAAAATAATCTCAACAAATGTGAAATTTGTAAAAAAATTTTTGTATCTGAGACACAAGAGAGATCACATACTTTTATTGACTTTAAAGAATATAGTGATCTAAAAAAGTCCCTTAAATACGCCTCTAAAAACCTCATTAACTGTATTGAAAGTAGTGCTACGATGATTTATGATTTTTTAGAGGCAGAAGCATATAAAAAAAAATTAAAAGGGACAATTAAAGTTTTGTTCAAAAACTCAATAAATTGGGAGTTTCTCGATGAATGTCCAGAACATAAAGATATGAATATAGATTACTTATTTAATAGCGTATTTCACATTTGTATGAAGAGATTTTGTATTTTGAAAAATCGGCAATTTGCAGAAGAGTACTCTGCATCTGCTCTTAAAAGAAAAATTGATATCCTGCAGAATAAATAAGATATTACATGGAACTACTTTTTCTATATGTACAGTCATAATCACTTCAGTGGTGACATTATATAAGGAGATAAAAGGAGAGGGAGGATTTGTCCTCTCTCGAGAGAGGCTGCCAAGGAGTGACTAGCGCTGATGAGGCTATGGATGTGTGTAAAAGTGTACCCGTAGTCCTGCCGATAAGTGGTGAAGATGAAACATCTGAGAGTTTTAGTCGGAGTGGGTCAGATATTCCTTGCTTCCGTGAGGCAGGTAGGATTTAAATTTAAGTTTTTTTTTAAAATATTTGCCATATAGAGCCACTTTTGGATTTCGAATATAGTATTTTCGAAACTATCACTTTACTGGTGCGAATCATACCTTACAGTCTTTTTATCGTTTAATGTCGGATAGTTTATTAGTCACCCTACAAACAATCGTATTGCTATGCAACTAACTTTTAAGTTTACTGTGGGATATGGATATCACATACATTTGTATTTTTATAGAATTTAGCAAGTAAATGCTGTGACACTTGGACATCTACCTGTATTATCGAAAAATAATAATAACTACTTAACTATTAAATCGATATTTAGTTAAGAGCTGTTCAGAACTGTTTACATGCATAAAGTTAAAAATTAGTTAATTACGTATATATCCATGTAACATCTTATTTATTCTGCAGGATATCAGTTTTTCTTTGAAGAGCAGTTTGCAAAAGAGGGGGATATTTTACATTTTAATATTTCATTTACGGAGTTATTTTTGCTCAATACTTTGAGAAATTCTTCATTCTTTAGATGCTTTACAGTTTTTTGAAGCCTGTTAATTTTTCTCAGATGATATTTCATTTTTATCAACATATCTTTATCCTTTTTGTTTTTCGTGGATGGATTTGCAGCAGGTAGTGCTAATTAATGACATGAAAATGTTGACTTATTAGTTTTTAATGCAGTCAATAACAATAACATAACGAAAATAATTTCTACAAATGTAATATTATTGGTGGCATCTATAATATAATCAGGTTATTGGAGTTTAGACATAATATTGCAAAGCTATTGCCTTGTTTGTAGAATGTGAAGGTAAATAATGTTTTCTTGTTAGAAAAAAGTGTTTATATTAGATTGTCTAATCTTTTTTATATAAAACCAATGTACCTTTACTTTCCATTTTGCTTAAATGTCATGTTACATATGCCATGTTAAAAATTAGTTAATTACTCCGTCACTTACGTCCATCAATGTACCAACGGTTTTTCTATGTACCAATGTAGACAAGTATGTAATGTAAATAAAAATTATGTATTTCAAAAACCACTTTTATTTGAAAAATAGTTCCTTTTTTATATTAAAATGATTGCTAATCGTTTCAAAAGTGGTTTATGAATGTAAAGTACCATAATTTACAAATAACTTTGTGCTTTTGTTTTCGTTTTAATTTAGCAATATATATCATTGAAACGAAAAACTACAAGCTATATCTATCTATATGGTATTTTACATTCTTAAGCCATTTTTGAAACGAAACAACCAAGACGACAACTAAAAAAAAATCACGTGTCAAAATTCCCGCGCAAAAAGTTTTAGGGGGCACGACAGAGATGGCGTGCATTATGGGTGCCATTTTCTTTGTTTGAAGTTGACATTCTTCCCGCCTAAGGGTATTAGTGTTCTGTGCACGAACCCTTCTGACGTAGTGTAGACGGCCTTGGCGGCTATAAGGAAGCGAGATGGAATAATATCCATCTCCTCGCACTTTTTCTTATCTTGCCATGAAAGAAATATTACTTTAAATGACGCTTCATTTTAATAGACGCTAGCAATTTATTTATTTGTATTTGTGAATCAATAATATAATACGTTTATTAATAATAATATACTATGAAAGGAACTTCGTTCCATTCGAGTGTTCCACGACACTCACGCATGTTTTATTTTATTTTTATTTTTACGTAAATATATTTCACCGAGTGTTTTCAAACGTGCTGTATTAAAATAAATCGATGCACTTTGTGCACCTCACAACAACCACCATTAATCAAAATGCTATAAACCTTACTCATTTTATGGGACGGGCTCTAAACTAAATTACTCTTCCTTCATCACAGTTTCTATAACAAAATTATTTTAAATACAATAAATACAACAAACATAGCTGTAATGTAGACAAAATCACTTTTTTTTTACTACAATAAAGATAACTAAAACATTGGTGCTTCGTTCGATAGGAATTTCGTTCCGAAAGTATGATAGGCTAATATACAAAAAATTACATATATAAATACAGACAGGATACATAAAATAAAGGTAGCATATGATGACCAGTGGTTATTGCACTATTAGGTAGGTAGTGATTTTTGACGTCAGTCTTATAATTTTTATTGGCACGTCGAATTTGCGGAGGAAGATTATTCCATAAGCAGATAGCCTTGACTGTGAAGGAATTCTTAAAGTATTTAGTTCGATAAGAATGTGGCGCGAGTATAAGTTCTCCGGCTGACCGTAGAACTCTATCCGATCTGTCATGACCAAGAAACTTAAAGTTTTCCTTGAGATAGCTAGGTGTCATTGCATTGAATAATACACAGTATAGAAGAGAAACAATTTGTAGATTCCGGTGAACTTGAGCTTTAAACAAAATTCGGAGACATGGTCATATTTGCGCAAGCTAAATATGAACCTAATAGCTAAATTTTGAATACGCTCAAGTTTGTTTAGTTGATCTTCAGTTAAAATAAAGATAGCTTGCGCCCGCATAATCGAGAATAGACAGGAGTAAAGATAGTGCAAACATAATCTTGGTAGAAATGGGAAGAAAAGAGAGTAAACGCCGCAGTAAACCCATATCAGCGAAAGTCTTTCTGCTAACTATACTAGTATCTTTATATATAAAAATTACGTATCACATTGTTTTTGCGCGATGAACTCTTTAAACTATTGAACTGATTTCAATGAAATTTTGCTCAGTTCAGTTTGGTCCAACTTGAGAAATAGGATACTTTTATCCCGATAAATGACCTTCAATATTTTTTTATTGCGAATTTAAGTTTTTTTTTTTATGGGAAGGGTCGTAGGAAAGGGCAGAACAACGTCTGCCTGGCCAGCTAGTATAACGACAGATTGTATTTTTTTTTATAGGATAGGGTGACAAACGAGCACACAGTCCACCTGATGGTAAGTGGTTGCTGTGACCCATAGACATCTACAACTATCCTCGTTTGTGAATATTTTAATTCGTTGACGCGTTGTCACCCGTGAGGACTAAGATACAATGCCTCATTTCCAGTAAAAAGGGCCTCCGGCCACCTGCACTCACCAAGCGAAACGCAGAGGTAAACCTCTACTTCACGCTGGTATTCTATGAGGTCATGGTACCACCCCGGTTTGAGCCGGCCCATCCGTGCGACAGCAAAAGCTGCAGCGTGGCTCTACCACTGTTAAAAAATGTTGTATTGTAAAAAATGTTTCCTATAAAGTCATTCCTACCATTCCATCCATTACAGCCTATAAGAGTCCACTTAAGGACATAGGCCTTCCAATAGATTGCATCATAGGGGGAATATTTGCCATAGTTGTAGTGTTACTATTGATTTGAAAATTTCACCTCCCAGTAGGTCATGTGCTCCTGGTAAATTATCTTCTATACATCCACTCATGACAGCCTATAAAGGTCCACTGCTGAATATAGGCCTCCCCCATAGATTACATCATAGGGGGATATTTGCCATAGTTGCCACGCTTGGCAGGCGGATTGGAAACCGCAGTTTTTTCACTTTATTTCAATGCAGGTGTTATCAGGAAGATGCTGCTGCCCATCTCCTGTTTCAGTTTACCTCTGTCGCCTCTCACTACACCCACGGGATGATATGGGATAGTGGATATTCTTACACCGCCACTACACGATCACCAGTGTCATTATCCAAAGAGAAAACAGAGAAATTTGTTTGTATAGACTAAATGCCACCCAGACATCCTCTAAATACTTCAAAATTTTAATTTCTCACTCTCAAGTTAAGTCCTTCTTCTCCTTTTCGAGTATTCTTAAAATTTTATACAGTTGTATTATTATCAACTGCTGCATTTCTCGCAGGCTCCGATCTTCTCTTTCGTTGTCTGTTAACTTCGCCAACTCTAAACTGTCACATTTATCGTCCAAAGCGTTTAGTTCTCTCTCGATTATATTGTCATCGATTTCGTCATAATTCGATTTTATATTCGAATCATCGGTATCGTTTATTTTGATGCCAGACGATTGGCGTTGTTGTGGATCCGTTAAGCATTTTGGTGGATTATCAGATATACATTTCTTATCTTCATCGATTATTTCATCGCTATTCGACGATAACTTGTGAAATGATAGAAGCGATGAATCACTGCGAAACATCGTGTGTTTCTTTCTACTCCCTGGATTTGAATCTGGGAAGATGTTTGGCTTTTAATGTACTGAATTTTTTCGTTCATTCTTTTTTAAGTTTTTAGTATTATTTATTGTCGTAGGCTTGTGTAAAAAATATCGATATTTTCTCATAAAATTATCGATATATATATATATATATATATATATATATATTGTCGATATTTTTATATCCGATATATCGATATTTATTTTAGAGTATCAAATTCGTTCAAATTTCGATAAAACAGCTACAAAAGCACTCATGTGCTGTTGTCGTTTTTTTTTCGTCGTCCAACCGTCAATAAGAAAATTTTTGGCCATATTAGTACGTCATGCAAAACATGATGATATATCGATATATTTTTCTCACTTGCCCATCCCTACACTGTCGCTTCTTACGACATTCACGATGCGATATTGAATATCAACTATATTCTTACACCGCTATTACACGGTTTTTATTTCTACCCAATGGTAAATACCCAGAATGGTGATTGATGATGTTGATGAACATCAGGTATTAGGATCGCCATCCATATGGAAGACGAAGAATCACGCGAGATGTTTCTTTGGACAGTTTTTGTTATAAGATAAGGGTAACAAAGGAGCACACAGTCCACCTGATGGTAAGTGGTTGCTGTGGCCCATAGACATCTACATTTATCCTCGATTACGAATTAAAATGCGTTGTCATTCGTGAGCACTAAGATAGAATGCCTCGTTTTCAGAAAAAGGGTCTCCGGTTCTCTACACTCGCCATACGAAACACAGTAGTGTTAAGCTGCTATTTTACGCTGGTATTCTGTGAGCGCGTCGTCCTTCCCCGGTCGAGCCGACGCATTCGTGCTACAACTATACTACTAATATAGTTGCAGCATGGCACTACCACGTATTAGTTTACTTTACAAGCTCAGAAAGAGAGCAACAAAGAGAAATAGTAAGGAGTCTATCATAACCATGGACGGCCTTTTTACGAAGTAAGCTCAAAGAAAGAAACTAACCCTTATCCATTTTCTTTTTCTCATCCACAACGGATTTCGTCCAATAATTATTCTCCAAACATTCTGCACAATTGTTTGCGTCAAAACTTGTACTGGCAACTACGTCATCGTTCGTTTGTAAGTCACCCAACACATTCGGCACGGACCCGATTGTGTTCGGCAAACTTTCCTTGTTACTGTTCGCGGTGGATCTCATACTGTCAACGTTTGGCGAAAATGCGCAAGGCTCGCCTAAACATTGGCTAGATCGCGTGTTTGTCGAACATTTGTCACAGGCAATATTATTTAGTGCAACGGACGAGTCGTATTTAGGTTTGGATATTTGCATCAGTTCTATTATATTGTTCGAAGTTGATTCAGGCTGCAATCATTCGCAAATATATGTATCCAAGTTGACCGATATATTTTGTAATATATGGTTGTTTGGCGTAAGAGAAATATTTTACACTGGGCGTGAAAGAGACAGTTATACCGCAATCATACAGAAGCCATGAGAAATCTTCTGGCATTTGCCATAAAACACCAGATATCACACATATTACTAAATATTTAAAATACTATATTTAAAAAAAACAATAATAAAAAAAAACCTAATAACTTAATTATCATACAGGCCTACTCCCCGTGTTATCGTGCCAAGAACGCTGGCTATACTTAGCCTTTGAGCGAGAAAAGAACTAGCCCTCTTATCACAAGCAGCAACGACCAGCCGCGGGTGGTGGACCCCACGGACCGACAGTCTCTACAGCAAATGGCACAAATATATAGTCATCTCTCAGAGACTCATATTTGCGCCACTTACTCAGTTCAGCTGCCTCTGATGCCGCCCCGGCTCTAAACGAGGTACCCTTGAGATGAGAGGCCGCCAAAGTGGCTTACGCAAGTAGCATCCCACACTAAGGTTTAAGATAA